GCCGACTCCAAGACGCTGTCGTCGATTACCCTAGCTCCTGCCGACTCCAAGCCCTAACTGATCTTCCTACCTCCATAGCCGAAGGTCTGCTCCCATTGTAGAACTCCCTTCCCCGCCTGTAACCCGAGCCGCCATCTACCTTCACTTGCCCGATCTTCACAAACTGCCAATAGTGAGGCAGTCTCTTTATGATTAAGTTATTTTTGATATTGATAGTAATTATTATTAATATTAACTATGTTATTATAACTATTTTTATATATATATATATATATATATAATGTGTGTGTGTGTAAGAGAGAGAGAGAGAGATTACAAAAGAGAAGAAAAAAGAAACAAAAAAGGGAAAAGCAAAAAATAAATAAAAAATAAAAAAGGAATTTTGTGTATTTTGTCGTCGTTGCTTCTACGTGAAGGTATAAGTTTCTAACTCAAAAATCCCACACTCGACGCTTGTGGCGAGCCGACAAACCTCCATACACGTTCACATAGCACAAAGGGAGGGAAACCGATGCGATGCTTGCGATGAGGTGAGTAATCCCCGGAGCGCTTATGTAATGTGAGGAGGATGAAAACTAAGTACCCATATGTGGGAAAATAACTGTGCTTTTTTAAACAGATGACAGACCCTTAAACGCTCATATAGCATAACGGGGATTGAAGAAAATACAGCCGTGGTGTCACCCGACGTCTACCTGAAGTGCTCATGTAGCGTGGAGGGGAAGGTTGTCTCTTTGTTTTTCCCCTAAATGGGGGAGACGTCGAGTGGCTGTCGAAATTCAGAGCAAATGCAGGGGACTTGTGAGCTTGGACTTGAATTTGGACATTGATTTGAACCTCAAATGAACTAAATTCAAATTTGAATAAATAAGCAAAATATTAAAACTATATTTGAACATTGAGAACTTGAGCTAAACTAGTCTCTAATAATTTGAACATGACCAAATACAAAGAAGAGCTTGAATCTAAACCACATGGGACTTGAGTTTGAATGTGACACATGAGACCGAATTTCAATGAATTCATAATCACATTCAAAGGACACAAATGTTAATTGGAAGTCTTGATCACATGAACAAAATTAATAAAGCAACAAAGAGGCTTATGCCAAGATTTCAAATGATCATGAACAAATGAGACACTTGTGAAAAATCATCTTACATGCTACAAACCATGAATGAAGATAAGGAATTTGCAATCATAATTTGCCTACAAACAATGCGCAAGGAACTATGAAGAAGAAATTCTCTATGTATACATTGTCGTGTTTATGAATAGAGGTAGAAGATGTGTGAACAATGCAGTGACATTCCAACCAATATGCTTGCAATCAAAGTATGAAACTTTCAAATAAATGTCGAAGAACCTTCATGCCAATCAGAATATAAATATCAACAAAACAACAATCATCTATAAATGAGTGGCTACAAGCAATGATCGATGATGAATAAGTTCTCTCTTTCTCATCCTTGAGCAACAATCAATATGAATGTAACAAATAAGGGAGAGCTGAAATATTCAAGTTTTACATACAATGAACTGGATGACTTATCAATAGTCATATACAAGGAATGCAATATAATCACAAGCAATATCAGAAGAGTGGCGGTGGATACAAACACCTATAGACAATACGAGCAATGGACTTGTGATGATGCAGTCTCTCTATAACTAATGTCAACTACTTTGGAAATGTATACAATAGCTCCCACAAGCATTGAAATACATGAAAGAAAATGCAGCAATTTTCCAATTTACATCGGAATGGAGATAATGTTAATCTTTACGACAGTCATACATGAAGATGTAGTAACCCCCACTACATCCACTTGTAAGAATTAACGAAAGTTTGTAGCAAGCACACTAGTCTTCTTGTAGATAACAATGGTAGATGAGATCCAATCAATGAAATTCCCAAATGCCCATTAACACCCCGATGATGACCGTGTTGAATGTTTACCTCAACCGGAGGATTCTAAATATTTCAAAAATGTCACTCAAATACTAAAAAATCCAAACAAAATTCCAAAGATCATCCAAGTCTAGAATATTTAAAATTGAAATAATCCATCAAATCATTTGAAGCAAAATCCATCCACCCTCCACGGCAGTTTGCTGGGTGGAGAAATTGGAATTTACTTCAGCTCACATAGAGTTAATGCCTAGTCAAAAATATCACTATGATCCATTCTCAAATAATCTCCTGTTAGTAAGTACGTGGTACATGTCCTATGACCGACAGTTTTGCTGCTAAATGGCACTGCAGGATAAACGATTATGACCCGGGACCCTCTGAACCGAGTGGTTTTGCCGCCAAATGGCACCAGGATATAACAATTATGGTCAGGGCCAAACATTCCTTAGTGACATCAAATCCTTGAAATATGAATAAATATGATATAATCCATAGGGCACAAAGCCTTCAGTTAGCTAAGGTAGATTTAAATTTGTCCCTTTAGACAAACACTCCCCCCAGGTCTATAAGTTCCCCTTGGACGAAGCAACCCATGGCTGCCGACAAGGATCATTTTATCAAGTTAGGTCGACTACCTCCTCTGACTAAGTAGACCAAGGATTACGATGGCCTGGGATGAAGGAACCATGGGATCTTGATCGGGTCCATCATCCATTCCTCTACCATTTGTTTTAAGTGCAAGATGGTGAAATTTTCAATTCTAAATATCCAATTTCCACAACTTAAGCCCATGCTGCTACTATATGCCAAATAACATGTATTCTCTATGTATCTGATTGAAGACTAGCCTTAATCGAAAGTTCTCTCTCGTTATCGGGAGGGGTAATTAACTATATGGGCTTGCGCTTATAGGAAACCAGAACTCAGATCATAAAGTCATGGCAAAATGAGGGGGAAATCTCTGAGTAGAGTCTTATCTACAAACTCATACGTCTTCCCAAAATTTACCCCGGAACTTAATACGTTAAAACTCCCCCTCTAAGAAAGTAAGCGAGGGAGGCCGAGGCCGAATTTTTGGAGCCACAATTGTCGTTTGCACGCATATTACTACGCCTGTTTGCAATCAGGCGACATTGATCGTATACAAACTGCATTTTATTTTGAACTTCTTGAATACACACCGGCTCACAAGTCATTGTGTTTGTTCCATGTTTTTCATCGTCGATCGTAGGTGAACTACTATTAATCTCCTACAGTTGTTTGTAGGTGTTCATATTCATAGCAGGTTCTTGATTCTTGCTTGCATATGAACTACAATGGCATTAGTTACATGCAAGCTGCACTCACATCAAATTCTTCAAACACCTCTTAGTTGACGATGTATTGCATAATCAATCATTGCTACTTGCGTAATTGCAAGTGTTTGCTCATATGTTGAAGTTGCCTGCAGGGCATGGGGCACTGTTGCATTCATTACCCATTGTCTACCATCACCTTGCTGTGGATTATTGCATATATAACAGATTCTTGATTCCCGCCCATAGGTGCTTGCTTACTGTAGACTCTTGATTCTTGTTTGTGGATAGCATGTACATTTGTGTCTACATGTGATCAGCCACACTCACAACATCTTAGCTGTTATTATCCTCAAATAGATCACACCAGTCATTATCGCTTGCAGGTAGGCTACTGCGTATCCATTTGCAAGTTAACCAGCCTCGGTGGCAAGGAGGTTATTTCCCTTACAATTCTCTTGCTTCACTTGTGGGCGTACTACATTTATTGCGTATGATTGCTAGCAAATCATCATATTCATTACATGCCTCTTATTGTCTGCGTCTAGACAATTTGTTGTGTATGTTATTGATTATTCACCACATTGCCTGGTGATTTGTGACAAGAGTGATAACACTGTTGTTATTGCTAGTTGGCATTTACACTTTGATTGATATAACCATTGTAGCATTTATTAGAGATTTCATATTGTGGCCTACAAGTAAGAGGTGTTTAAGGATATTTGCACATCACAAGTCTTCTGATTATTTGTTAACATGACTTGTATTTTAGAATTTGTACATTTAGTTTGATTGTGCATTTTAAAGTCTAAAATTCAGTCTGGTTCCCTGTAGTTCTTACTGCAAGTTTGGTTCCCTGTTAATTGTTCAAGTTTTGTTCCCTAAAGTTCAAGTCAGATTCCCTGTTATTTGTATAAGTTCAGGTCCTCTATTTTTTGAATTTCGGCAACCCCCGGCGTATCTCCTGTTTAGGGGAAACTTTAAGGAATTGGGCCTTCCCTATCATGCTACGAGACCGGGTAGGATAGGTGTCGGGTGACACCGTGGCCTTAGTCTCAATCCTACCATGCTACGAGAAAGTGTAAGAATCTTCAAGGTACCTAAAAGAAGGTGCAGTCTTTTCCCGCAAACACAGAAGCACATATACGAGTACTTAATTTTGTCCTAGTCATGCTACGAGAGTGCTTAGAGGCCTACCCGCCTCGCCGCAAGCATTCCACCGGTTCCCTCCCACCATGCTATGAGAGCGAGTAGGGTGGTCTCCCGGTGTGCCATGAGCGTCGAAAGCGGGGGTTTGAAACATTATACCTTATGAGTGATGCCGACAACTTTGTCAAGGCGATGGTGATGAAATTTTAAAAAATATCCTCCTGGCGTAACATGGGCGACTGTCGTGTGTTCAGAAACGACACCATTCACACTTCAAAGACGAGTAAAGCTTCTTTGATTCTTCCAAAGATAAAAACATCCACCCTGCATCTCAATGCCCATACTAAAAGCTTGCAATTGTAAAGATGCATTAGATGTACCAATAAATTAATCACAACTTCAATGAATTAAAGAAAAGAAAGAACAAATAATTAAAAGAAACTTCAATGAATTAAAGAAAAGAAAGAACAAATAATTAAATGAAACATCTCCTTGTAACAGAATCATAAAATGCTTCTTCTATTTCAATCCTCATTAACTATCAAACTCGGAGCTGCATTGAAACTTTTTTAAGAGTGCCATAATGCTATTCATGAACAAAAACCCTCCCATTAAAGGAAAAAAGATGAGAAGCTACTTACTGCTGCCTTCTGATTAGTTAACCTCCTAATGGATGGAGCCCGTGCAACTGAAGATGCAGCAGCAGCAGCAGCCACACGTATCCTGCAAGAAAAACATTAAACAACCAGTGCCTTTCTGATTCACATGATTTGTCATCTAAGATAGGTGGATCTTAAGACAGGAAAAATTTTATGCTGCAATTACCTTTTGTGAACATCAACGTACTCATCAGTTTCATCTACAATCTCCTCCTACACAATGTCAGATCCATCGATGATCAGAGTATTAACAAAAAATAACCACATAATCAAAGATGCTTCTCCAAGAAAACCATGCCAAGCATGAGCAAAGATGCAACCAAATCATAAATACTCCTAGTATTGACAATCCAAATATAACCGAACTATTTGCGACACTCATTTATGCAAGGAAAATCCCCAAAGGACACCCAACAAGAGCTAATATACAGGCAAGAATCATATGACCTCAGGCAATTTGAACGGTTATGGTTAATAAAGGTAAGTGCTAGACTCTAAATCAGAAAAAGGGATGGAAATGCATCCTGGACTACCAAGAACAGGTACAATCATTGACAAATGATAAGCAAGTACAATATTTCAGTTTCATTTACTTGTAGGAGTTCTTCAAATACATCCTCAAGAGTGATGATGCCAATAACCTCTCCTTCTTCAACATCTTCTGTTGTACGAACCCCTGTATCAGTTGGTAAACTACTATGTGGCAGGGAAGTGGGGTTATTACCATTAGCATGTTTTTCTTGAACCTTATCTATGTCCACTACAAAGCTTCTATCCTCTTTTGATATTAAAGGAGTTGTCAAGTTAGATTCTCCATAAACTTCTTTATTTTCTTCAGACTTGTTCCCTTCAGCGGGAGGGAGACTCCTTGTTTTCCCTTTAGCCTTCACAACAGCAGCCATATGGCTGCTTCCCTTCTGAAACTCATTTAGTATATCATATAGAGGCATGTCCGCTGGGACCCTGATAAAATTTTAGGGATAAGCAAGCAGATTTATGCTAAATATCAGACAAATGAAAATAAGTAATTCGAGAAACCTAGGAATTCTTCTTATGGAAACGGCACTAACTGGTGTCTCTGTCTCAGCACGAACTGTGAGAAGACTTTTCACCTGAAGATGAAACTTAATAAGCTAAAACCCAAAAAATGCACTACATGGATATTTTCTGCTCAACAAAACAAGATTACGAGGTATAGATTTAAGCGCAGAAGACAATTGGCACCAACCAGTAGAAGACCAATAATGTTCCTTGGATTTCCTGAATAAACAGGGACTCTGCTGTGGCCCCGAGCTAGAATTTTGCCAATGGCTTCCCTGTAAAGGGTAAATGCAATATGTCTTAGGGTCTAGGTTTTGTTAATGCGCACAAAATTATGCAAACACATTTATATTCACAACACAAACTTTTAATTTAGGAAAAATTAATTATTTAGATGAAAACTAAAAATAAAAAGAAACATATACATATGATAATTTAATAGCATTTACATGAAATAGTGCAGAGAAATCCAAAGACAAAAAAACATTCAATCAATTGGAAATCATCCTATCGTAGACATATATATTGAATCAAATTTGACAAAATATTAATCATACATGACCAAATCAATATTGAGATAACATAAATATACTTAAGTATTCTAAAATGAAAAGAGACCAAATCAAGTATCATGCTTGTTCAAGAAGATAACCTCTCAGAAAACAACAAGATGCCACCAGATCAAGGATAACTAGGATATTCACATTCAATCATTTTATTAAAAATTAATTGATAGAGTTTAAAATGTCTTAGAACTCTTTTATATCATCAAAACATTCCTCTGTAACTATTATAAAAAAAAAGGCAAACAAATCTTGGAACTGTGTAAATCTAAATAGGAGAAACCCGGGATGAATTGAGATAAACAAGATAAAATGCAACTTTGATGGCATCAATTCCAACAAATAGAACTATTAAACTTAGTTCCAAGAACAATATACTGCTGATATGATCATTAGCAAAAGCCATAATTGCATGCAGCAACTTGGCTACAAAACAGTCACTGCTTTACCATTAATTAACCTTGAAAAGGCCTCAAAAACCTAATTGAGGAATGTAACTGCATGCAGCCAAGAAGCCATAACCATCAAGATGCAGCCAATTGTTGATCTCAGTAACAACCCACAACTTATTCAATCAAACACAATAATAATAGTGGACAACAGACAACATTGCATAAGATAAATTCAAGACGTCTTGGTCACAACAAAAAATATTCGACGATTGCATGTGTTGTAAAACAAATTATGTTGACATATTTGAGATGTCAAAAATTCCTAGAAAGAACAGACACATCACCAAATTCAATAAACGAGAAAATTTCGAAAAAAAAAATCTGCACGGAAATAAATTCAAGGCACGTGAATAACGAGAATTCATGAGGGCAACAAAATTGACATATATGAGCAATTAAAAAAACAGCAAGGGAGAAGTAGCAAACACATGTTATTATAAATATAATATAATTTAAACATTATATATGTTTATAATAAGTATTATCACTCAATTAATCTCAAATTACTGTCTCATATGCACACATGTATATATATATATATATATATGTCGGACACGTCATTAGCGTGTCCCATTTTAAAAAAAATAAATCGAACACGCATGTCAGACACTATTGTATAATTAAATAAATAAATAAATAACCCTAATCCCGAATTCCTATTCGTATTCGTGGTCTTCCCGAGCGATTGAGGCGAGCAGCGGTCGGCTGGAGATCGCACCCTTGGTCTTCCCTTCCGGCCGTAAGCAACAAACCATCCTCCTTAGTTTCTGCGCGCAGCCGAGGGAAGCCGACGCCAAACCGCAGAAAATTTTTCAAACCTGTAAGTTGATTTCGCCATTTTTTTCTCCATTCGCCATTTCTCTTCATTTATTAATGATTATGTAGATTTGTGATCAGAAGAGTATATTTTTTTAAAGAATTTTATTTATTTTGGATTAAAATTACTCTTACAATAAAAAAATGTTTATTTAATGCGCTCTCATTGCGCTTTTGCTGCGCTTTCATTGCGCTTTTAATGCGCTTTTGGTGCGCTTTTAATGCGCTTTCACTGCGCTTTTACTGTGCTTTCACTCTTACAATAAATTTTTTGTTCTGGGGCCGCTGCCCTCGAAAATCGGGCAGGTCGAACACCACCAGGGGGCAGCGCCCCCTTGGACTCCCGGCATAGCTGCAAAATTTTAATTGTTTTTTAGTCAGATAGTCATAACGCATGATGCAATAGTTCTTTAATTATTTTTTAACTTTGTTTGGCAATATTTATTAAGCCTTTATTTCTTCTACTTTACTACTGAATTTAAAAGCAAAATAAACTCTAGTGCTGGTGGGAGTGGTTCAAAAGAGCCATATATAAAAACTGATAAGCCATTATGAATTCATGTTATAAGGTTAGGAAAATTTTTTGGAGGGAATGTGTCATTCAAATGCAATTATTGTGGTGACACCTATAAATGATCTTATTCTAGGATGAAAGCACATCTACTTAAGATTTATGGCCATGGAATTAAAATGTGTCCTAAGATTACTACGTCACAATTGATTGAATTGAACAGACAAGTTGATGAAGCTGAATCTAAGATCAAATGGACACTTCCTAAAGAGATACATTTATCATCTACCCATGGTTCATCCCACACTTCTTCCTCATCTGTTAGAGTTGATCATTCATTATCATATAGAAGTGAATGATATAATTCAAAGAAAAGAAAAGGAGTTGCCAGTAGTGCTTTAGAGAAGACTTTTAACATGCAGCAGCGAGAGGAATTAGATGGTAAAATTGCAAGAATGTTTTTTTCTAGACTTCCTTTCAACATTGCAAGAAATTCTCATTACAAAAATGCATTCACTTTTGTATGTAATAATAACCTTGCAGGTTATGTTCCACCTAGTTACAATGCATTAAAATCAAAATTATTGGAAAGGGAAAGAACACATATTGAAATATTGCTTGAACCAACAAAAGATATGTGGAAAGAAAAAAGAGTCATTTTGATGTATGTTGGTTGAACTTATCCTCAAAGAAGACCACTCATTAATTTCATTGCCGTTACAGAGAATTGTCCAATGTTTATTAAAGTTGTGAATAGTGAAGGAGAATACAAAGATAAATATTTTATTGTCAATTTGATTAAAGAGGTGATGGTCATTATTGGGCCTTCAAATTTTGTACAGGTTATAACAGATAATGCACCGGTCAATGTTTAAAATTGCGTATTCGGGTATTGAGGCGTTTTTCATTCCTCGTAAGCCTCAAAATCAAAAGATTGCGTAAACATAAAATGATAAATTTTTTATATACTAATGAGTGAATAATATAAAACATTAAAAAACATAAGATATGAAGTGTATATATATATATAGCATGAGACGTAAGCCTCATGCCAATGAGGCAAAGCGGGCCTCAACCAAGTTGAGGCGCAAGCCTCATAAAAAAACTCAATGCGTAAGCATCGAGGCGTTTTTTACTGAAATTGCGCAAAGGCGGGCCTCAAGGTGAGCCTCATATTGCGCAATTTTAAACCATAGCACCGGTGTGTAGAGCTGCATGATTATTGGTGAAGCAAATTTATCCTCATATATTTTGGACTCCATGTGTTGTGTACACTTTAAATCTTGCTTTAAAAAATATTTGTGCAACAAAGAATACAGAGGTAAATGAAATCATCTATGCTGAATGTTATTGGATAACAGTGGTTGCAGATGATACTGTTTTGATCAGAAATTTCATTATGAACCACTCAATGAGACTTCCAATGTTTAATGATTTCTCATATTTAAGAATGTTAGCTATTGCTGAAACTCGTTTTGATACTCTTCAATTTATGGTGATTAGTGAGCAGTGGTCTTGCTATCGAGAAGATGATGTTGGGAAGGCAAGGTATGTGAAAGAAAACGGGGAGCTGTCAAGTGGCCCAATATATTAAGGATATAGAGTTATAGACAAGTTTTTTTAATGAATTTGATGCACAATAATAAGTTTCTTTTGGTGGATTAGTGATGGAATATACACTAGAAACTAACAATACATATAGATATTTCTCTACAAATCCACCAACGTTTAGCGATAAATATTTGCCAAAAAAATGTCATAATTACTAATAGATAAAATACATTGGTAATTCTGATGATAATCCAAATTTTTCTGTTATAAAATATCAATCACACATCTAAACCAAACCAATTTAGAGAACACAAATATAATGAAAGGAAAAGAGATATGGCTTCTATAAAGAGATAACATCTCCTATAAACTTTCAAGCTCCACCTTCAAGCTCCCGCTTAGATCGAGGAGAAATAAAGTGAATTGCACATATAATCAAAAAATTTATTCAAACATAATTGATTAAGCTTTGCATACCTGCTTGATATTCTCACAAAGTTCCTCCTTTACAATTAAAAAAAAAAACTGCAAGTAAATCTTAGAACTATATAAAACCTGATAGGAGACGGGCAAGATGAATCAAGATAAGCTAGAGAAAGCTACAACTTTACCAATCCCACATAAAATAAAATAAAAAAATATGCGCGTCCACTTAATTTTGGAGATTATTTACAACTAAACCAATCATACACAAAAACATCCACCATGTACAACTAATCAGGCATAAAATTCACCAGTCTTAACCATTCAACTGCGAAGAAAGAAAATCTAAAAATCTAATCACAGAATTCAGAAGCAAGCAACCAAACAATCATAAGCCTCAAGATAATTTACTGCAAGCCTATCAACAATCCCAATTACAGGCTTCCAAGATCTAGAAACCACAAAACTTCAAAGTCCCAGCAAGCGTAGAATCAACAGTGGCAATAATCCTAAAATTTGAGGTTGGTGAAGTCATCTAAGACTTAACATTTGTAACACATTATTGTTATTATTATTATTTTTTTTCTTTTGCAAATTTCTTGGCAGCCACACTCCCTCCCCTATTAGATCCACCTACGTAAAATATAAACTCCAAGAGAGAAACAATACAACACAGCCTGCTTTCATTGTAAGAAACATCATAACTCATAAGCATGTGCTATTTAAAAGAAAACATAAAAAGCCATACAAAAAAATCTAAGGAAAAAAAAGAGCCTTTCACTTCATTTTTCTCAACGCATACATCTTAAATTTCTAATAATTTCAGGCTTTAAAATTTGCATCAATACTAATATTACACCCTTTTCATATGTATTCATGTCTTCTATGAATCTGGAAGATTCACAAATAGAGGTACATATTCCGGGAAAAATTAATAAATTTAATAAAGAAATCAACTATGAACTATCCCTATTTCAGTTTCATGTTGGCATACAAATTTAAAAAAAAAAGAGTGAAAGTTACTAAAATAATAACCATACAACACAATATGTTGATTCAATGAGTTCTTGAGACTTTATGTAGCTCAATCTTGATTTGATGATAACAAATCATGTTTCAAAGAATATTTTAAGAGATATTGAAGGATATATATACCCCATATATTTCAGTCAATAACAAATGGATGAATGAATGGAAAAACTTTTCATTGTGATATTTTCGTAATGTTTTGAAGTGTAGAAATAAAGTATTCATATAACCGTTCACTTCTTCACAAGCATCATTTTTTATAATATCTTACATCTTTCAACCTCTTAAGATTTTATGCAAGTTTTCGTCATTTTGTATATATTCTCAATCTGCATTAGAGATTCATTAGTAGGTTATATCCTTTTAGTCAACTCCAAAGCTCAAAGGATCTTTGGTTTAAGACTTTATTGCCCCATAGGGATAGGTGTTTGAATTGCACCTATTGATAAAAAGTGCATAGGATGTAAAGATTTCTCTACCTTCTTACCAACTAAATGAGTCAACTTTAGCTGTAAGTCTGGAGTAGTGGAATCCGAATCCGAGTATGGATTAGGCATGGATGTCAATTGATTGGTTCTTAACTACATAAAAATAATATTGTGCAATTTTTACTTTAAACATGGTAATTCAATTTGCAAGTTTATTTCAATTGCTTAGGCTTTGAATATTTATTTATTGATAATGTTATGATTGCTCGTGTGCTCTTATGTAAAGTAGATTATTAACATTTTTCTTACAAACAATATGCTCTCACTTTTAGCATAGACCTATTTAGTTCATCATATCTATATTTAGATTTGCACTTATAACTTTCGTGTTTGTGATTTTTCTTTAATAGTTATACTGAGCAACTCATATTGAGCTTAATAATAATAAACTTACTCACATTATTTTTACTTAGCCTATACCATAATTTAACTTTTATGGTGTCACTTGTAGGATTGAATAAATTACAAACATGTGATCTGATATCTTTGAGTGTAATTATTTATATTGTAGTTGAAGTTTATATGCTCATTTGTATTGTATTAGCTTATCACATTATTTACATCCTGTCTACACTTATTAGAGTATTTAAATTGTATGCGTAATTGATAAATTAATTGCTTTTGTTAGTATTTTAAATCATAAGTATTTGAATTATAAGGATTTCCAAGGAAATCCAAAGTGCAAACCCTTCCCCTTTTCTTGTTTGCCTCAGCTATCATACTATAGGACTTCACATTTAATTATTCTGACAAATCATTGAATAAGAATAGATAATGCTTAAAATTCAACACTCACCAATCCAACTTTGAATTGACATCTAATGAGAATGTTGATTCAATCGGTGTCATAGCTTCCTCAGCAGTCTGTCCATTAGAACAAAGATCTTAAAAGTTTGAATTCGAAAGTTACAGAATATAATATAATAAACAAGAGTCCATGGACTAAAACACTTAAGAACCAATATAGATGTTAGATAAATTTTATGCTATAAAGAAATTTCATGCAGAGTCGATAGCAAGTTAATATGTTTGTCAATTGTTAAAAATGAATGTCAAAGAGTGTAAAAAAAAAGTACCAATTAATTAGCGTCAAAATATAGTTCATGGGATATCATAAGACTCGATATATTTAAAACTAATTTATAGATGAGACTATAAAAAAATCATCAAATTTCATTAAAATTCTGTTACGATGCAGAAAAAAAAAAGAAACTGTTAATTTATTTTAGTGGTTTTCTTTTTTTTTTTTGACGTAAATTAGTCTTTTTTCAGGTTGGCAATGTGTTCGCATAGAGATAAGTCAAGGTAAATTATGATAATTTAATGATAGATTTTAAAAGAAACACAAGTAGGTGAAGAGAAGAGAAGGAAAAAGCAAGAAACAGAAAGAAGTAAGAGAATTAGGAGGAGCTAGATTAGTAATCAGACCGTCCAAAAAGAGATAAAATAAATACTATTGCCTGGAGCATTATAGAAACAAGACTGCTAGTACCATAAGCTCCAATATTACCCTGTCGAACAAATAGGCCCTAACAACAATAGTAAAATTCTATAAAATTGGATGGTCAAACAAAACTTTATTTGCATTACATCTAAGTATTAAGGCTCTGCCTGACTTGAAGGAATTGAAATAAGAAAATTGTTATGGAATTGAATTGAAATTAGTTTTGGCTTGTTTGGTTAATGAGAATTTGTGAAAAATATTTTAAATTTTTGTTTGGGTGATGAAAACTGACATTTGATTTCTTGTATATATGAAGATGATATGCATGTCACAACAATGACACAATAATTTTTTTCTTATTTTCACGAGGATCGGGTAGGGAACTTTCAACAGAAAAATGCATTTGTTCACTTATGTTAGGTTCAATAATTACCCGCAAATCATATTAGAACCAACCACCAAAATGCCCAATATGAAATTGTGAAATTAAATACATTTGCACTCCTTCCGATTCCTTCAAATCAAATATATCCTAAGATTGTTTGGTTTGAAGGAATTGGAAGAGATGAAATGAAAAAGGAATGGAAAATGTTAAGGTACATGACTAGAAATTAGTTTTTACCCATTTGTGTGGTTGACAATTAATTGACTGGCAAATGTTTTGTTCCTTTTTGTTTGGCTGATGAGAAATTGAGTTTTTATTTCCTGTGAGGATGGAAAATGTGAGTCACAGGCTCATAACAATGAAATGATAAAATTTTCTACCCATGTTCATCGGGGTTATGCATGGAATTGTCAATGGAAAATGCATTTGTTCACACTTCCTATGTAAATCAAATTACTTACTAATCACATCCGAACCAAATACCCAACATAAAATTGTGAAGTAAAATGCACTGCATTCCTTTCAATTCGTTCAAACCAAACATAGCCTAAGTGAACTTAACTATCTTGTAGACTCAATCACCTGATTATTGCTTCTTTGGTAAAGTACATCTTAAATGTAAATAATATTATGTTATGGAAAAACAATAAATATTTGATGATACAACAAACAAATAGAAACGACAAGCCATAAATTAAAAAAAAAAAACTTGAATAATTTGAAAAAACAACTCTAAATATATAAATATTATTAGCTAAGAGAGATATCGAATTTTTCATATAACAGACCTTTTCTGTCAAATCAAGAGCACCGCTTATTATTGTTGTTTCATCATGGGTGAGTTCCCCGCCTTTACCAGCCTAAAAAGATTGCACCACAAGAAGGGAATACAATATTAATTGATCATATATGTTGATAAAATTAGTAATTATAACAAGCTTTTTAAACTGACACTAGTCCTCATATAATTGCTTATTTTGTACCTCTTTGCTATGAATAGAGACGAGAACCTTCAACTGAGCACGTCTAAAAATTGCCGAATCACTATGTCCAAGTGCACAATCTAAAAGCTGGAACGATGTTAACAAGTTAAAGATGAACTTAATAAGCTGTCACTAATAGATAAAGGTAACAATGTTGCTGAGAGCAACGTGAAAGGCTGAACAAAACACATTTCTGAAACAATAAATCTGCATTGAGTTTGTCATGCCTAATATAAACACCAAGTTGATCACATGTGAAACCGAAAATAATAGAACCATGAAAGGCAAAGGACTGAAAATTCTACCTACATAAAATAAAGAAATGAAAACAAAAACCATGGAAATAGCTAACAAAGCAAAATGTAATTGGTTGCCATTATTATTTAGCCAACAGCATTATAATAGACCACATGATCCATGATTTAACGGATGTATGGCTGATAACCATGCCCCTGTTATAAACTTGCTTGCACTTTAACAAGAGTACACGTTTTAGATGTCTCGGGTCTATTGTCCAAAATAATAGTGAAATAGATGGGGATATTATTAGTAGAATTCAACTTGGATGGTTGAAGGGGAGGAATGCATCGGGACTATGGTGTGATAGAAACTTAATCCTCAAACTTAAGGGAAAATATTATATGATGTTAGTGAGATTTGTAATTCTTTATGGCGCAGAATGTGGGCCATTAAAAAAGAAGCATAAAATTAAGTTAAGTGTTGTAGAGATGAGGATGTTTAGGCGGATGAGTAGCTTCACTCTCAGAGATAATGAAAAATGAGTATATATGTGTGAAGGTTGGAATGGCTCTAATGGCAGATAAGATTTTAGAGTCTCATTAGATGGTTTGGACATATAACATGTAAGCCTTATGATAACCCAGTTAGGAGAGTTAATGTATTAGATTTGGCTTATGTTAAGAAAGGTAGATGTAAATCTAAAAAGATTGTTTAGAAAATATTAGAAATGACTATTTATTATTAGATTTAAATGAGAATTTGACTCTTAACATGATAGAATGGAGAAGAATGATTCATGTAGCCAACCCTATGTAGTGGGATAAAGGCTTCATGCTTTTGTTGATGTTGTATTTTTTACCATACCCATTGGTTAAAGGCATCTTCTTAATTTTGGATAAATAAAGATTTTTGGAAATATGAACATGATAGCACATGTCAATTAGGTATTTAAATGTCTGATTCTTTGTAGATATGGATTTGGGATAAATATTGTGAATGGGAATATATTCTTTTTTCCCCTTAATATAATAATAAAAGTTGTATACTATTGGAAACCTTTTTAACATGCCACCACATGACAATTAAATACTATCTTTTATGCTGGAATTGCGGATTCAGAAGAGACTTAGACTTAAAATATATTCTTTGTTTTAATTATTTGATGGTACTAAATTGTTGTTAAACATCAAACAAAATGCTGATAGCAACAGTATTGGATTAAAACAATAAAGCTAGAGAAGAAGCAGATTGTTCTTACATATCAATTTATAACATTAGAAACACATGAACTTATTTCATTCAGCAAATGAACTTTTGCACATGTCCGCTCATGCTAATTATGTACAATTTTTTTCTGCTGGAATTGTGGATTAAGAAGACAATTAGATTAATATGATATTCTATTTTTTAATTATTTGATGGTACTAAATTGCATTAAAACATCAAACAAGAACCTGATAGCGACAATGTTGGACTAAAAAGAATAAAGCAAGAGAGTTAGTAAATTGTTCTTACAAATCAATATAAGAAATATATGAACTTAGTTCAGTTTCATCTCATCATATTATTAATACTTTCCATACTCATTAATGACATAAATTAATGGATTTTTTTATTTCTCAATAAGTAACATATTTTATTTAGCATAATTTTTATTTTATTTTTTCTAGTCATCTAAAAAGTAATGATCCTATAAAGATAAAGATATAAAATATTGCTAGATTTTTAAAATGCATATAAATATTTGTATGCAATATTGGTATAAAAATATACGCTTATCTAAAAATTTTCAACTTGTCAAAATGAAGGAAAATTGCTAAGTTCAAGTATAATTTTGTAGATTATAAACATCAATAATATATATAAATATGATTTAAATTTGACCTGTATAATTAAATAAGATGTCAAGTAATAATAAAATATAATTTAGATATGAAGGGAGGATTTTGAAAAAGTGAGCTTGATATATTTATAATTAAAAGAAGGTTTACTAAAAAAAAACTTATGTATAAGAAATATGTTTTTATGGGTAACATGCTATGAGAAACAACACATAAGAATTAAGTGATAAGCAAGTCTTCCCAATGAGGTGAGTACATAAAATTCTATTTTGTAGTAATTAAATTCATTTCCCTTTTAACTTTGATGAACGCTATGCCTTCTTATATATATTTGATGATGATATTCCCACAAATTATTGTTGGAAAATGACTGAAATGAAAACTATTTTTTATGAACCTTTATATATTGGTAGATTCACCTTATTTCCTATAAATGCCAAGTAATTTTTTTTAATAAGTAATGCATGTATAATATAATCTTGTATAAACCTTTACATATTGATAGATTCACTTTATTTCTTACAAATACCATGCAACATATTTTTATAAATAAGGCATGTATGATATAATCATTTCAAGGAATATGATAATTAGAAGTGATTGTATGTGTATGTTAAAATATGGAGTTCAACCTTTTATGGTAATGACTGGAGGTGCGTTGTATCCGTGTGAGATGATTACCTACCATCAAGGGTTAGGTTTGGAAAAGTTTATTGAGATGAATGTGCCTTTAATGGTACAAAATTAGATAGTACTTGTTGACCTACGGATCAAACCCAAAAGAGCAAAAAAGAGAGAAGAAGCTAAAAATCCATCATACATACCTTGAATCCATCGGATCCTCAAAATCGTGCTGAAATCCCGCTGCAAACGGCGCCGCTCCAGTCGATTTCCCGCGATTCCTGCTCAAACTCCGCTCGAGGAGGCTCATTCGCGTCGTTAAATAGTCACCCGAACGGAGCCTTCGGTTGCTCTCCGACTTCGCTCCACACACGACCTCTTCTTCCTCAAGTCCGTCGCCGACTCCAAGCCACCACCAGCTCTCCTCCTCCCGCCGGCTTCTTCACCCAACGTCTTCATCTCCACCGAAGTAGCAAGCCTCCAGTCCCGACATCTTCCCCTGTGCCGATCTCACGGCCTACAGCCAACAGCCGCACCGAGCCTCAGCTCTACCCGAAGCCAACCCGATCTCCCTCAAGGCCTTCCGATCTGCTTGCATAGCCCCTGTCCGATCCTCTCTAAAGGCCGCCCGATCTCTCCTCTTACCCGTGCCCTATCTCCACCTCACTCAAATAAAACTCTGACTCAACCCGACTGAGTCCCAACTCACTCAACTCACTCTGACTCAGCCCTTCGACTCAGTCAACTCAGCACTTCAACTCAGCCGACTCAGTCCACTTAAAGCCTAGCCAACTCACTCACTCAGCCCAACTCAGCCAACTCACTCACTCACCCCTACCCGATTTGAGTCTTAGGTATATATTTTATGTTTATTTTATTTATTACTATTATTATTAATTATTTTTAATTATAATTAATTTATAAAATAATTATAATTAGTTTTAAATTAGTTATAATTTTTATAATTAGTTATATTAATTCTAATTAATTATAGTTAATTAACTATAATTAGTTATTGTTAATTATAACTAATTATTTTAATCATAATTAATTAATTTCAATTATAATTATTTATTATAAGGTATTTATAATTAATTATAATATATGGTTAATTATAATTAAATCTTTATTAATTATAATTAATGATAATTAATTATCATTAATAATAATTAATTATTTTAATTATAATTAATCTAAAATAATAATAATAATAATAATAAATTTGGTTCTTTTATCGATGCTTGCAACGGGCCAGCAAACCCCCAAGGCGCTCACATAGCGTTGAGGGTGGGAAATCAGTGCGATGCTTGCGACGATTTAAGGATCCCTCTTCAATGCTAGCAACGAACCAGCAAACCCCCGAGGCGCTAAAGTAGTGTTGTAGGGCGGGAAACCGGTGCGGCGCTTGCGGCGAAGGGAATAAAAAAAATGTGTTTTTGTTTTCTTCTTTATTTTTATATAAGTGCCCCAGAACACCCACGTGGTGTAGAGGGGGGAAATCCTGCTTATTTCTAACACCTATTTTCTTCTTATAATAAACAAACCTAAAAACCCTTAAATGCTCACGTAGCAGGCGGGGATAAAAAAAATTTCATTCGCGACCGCGGTGTCATTTTTGACACCTACCTGAAGCGCTCACGTAGCGTCGATGGGAAAGGTTGCCTCCTAGTTTTTCCCCTAAACGGGGGAGACGCCAGGAGGCTGCCGAAATTTGGATCAAAGATCCAAGGACTTTGAACAATGTTTGGACAATAACATAAACTCAAATTTGAACTCAAATGATAAAGAACTTGGTGCAAAGAGCTTGAACCGAAAAAGACTACAAGGACACAAATTAGAGTTTGATTTGAACAATCATGCAGTACTTGAGCTCAAGCTTAAAATGAACCTGAAAAATATAAGAGAATTTGATTGAATTCAAGAGAACAAGTATAAGAACATTGACTTGGGATTGTAGTTTTGAACAACTACAAGAGAACTTGCACTAGAACTGGAACTCTACAAAAACAATAGAAGACTTGAGTTGTACAACATGAGACTTGAATTTGAATCATATCACTAAGCTTTTAATAAAGATTAAGGAATGATCATTTCAATTTGTAAGCAAGTGCCAAATGGATTTGTGGAGAATTTTGGAACAAATCTCAACATATGACAAGGGACTTGTGAAGGAGAGCATCCAAGCATGGTCAATGTGCAAGCAAGAATCAAATAAAAATACAACTAAATAATGCTGAATGAGCTTGTGGTACTTCTTGTTTTCAAGCAAAGACTCACACACAAAGTCACTACAAACTTTGGTATAAAGCTTATTTGAGCAATCTCATCATGCATGATCCAAGTCTTTTTTTTTTATGTGGCAACAAAGGACTTGTGCCAAGACTTCAAATGAGTAAGATTTGCCCATGAGCAAATGAAGAACTTATGAGGATCATTCTACATGTTATAAGCCATGAATAACGATAACAAATTTTGATTTGAAGGATGGTCAAGGTGCCAATCAATGATCCAAAACATTCAGATGAACATCCATTCATGAGATTAAAGCAAATTGTCATCTTCAACCAATCAAGCTGCGAGCATGGAGAAGAAACTTGTAACACAACCATTCTTCTTGTAGCTGAGGATCAAAGACTTGTAATAACACTAATCAAAATCCTACAAACATATGCAAGAAACTTATGGTGGAGGCAATGACATGTTTGAAAGAGACATGCAACAAGTGAGATATCAATAGACCGCCACATTGATTGGAATGTAGATGATGATTAAAGCTCTGTATTATTTGATTGAACGTTAATAAGCATAAAAAGCTTGAAATCAGAACATGATTGATAAGGAACAAGAACTGTGAGCTAAACTGTGAAATGTTGGACCCCACTTACAATATGCAGGCGTGAAATAAGGTTAAGATTCTCAAATACATGAAACAATGTGTTGTAATGACTAAGACCACAACAAATGCAAGAAACTACGAGTTAAGGCAGGAGATTAGTTGGTACACTATGATCCGCCTACAAAAAATCAACAAATAGTGTACGACAGTCTACCTGTACGAAGAAACAAACAACTGATCCAGAAGCTGCTACGCCACGCCACCGGATCTGCAACATTCGTACAAGCAGACAGAAGGCGTCTATTCTAAGAATATCCCCGCACGTGCACAATAGTTTGTATATACATAGGCACACTAAAAGGGGAAAATACAATCCAAACCCGCAAGGGCCCCGGCGAGCGTGTTATTGGTACACACGTGACGTCTAGGGATGCTGCGCGGGTTGACAAGTGAATTCATGTTCGAAACCGATCCTTCTATATGGGTCAATAGAAGTCGACAGGGTTCGAACCATTAAGCAAATATAAAGTTGTGGCGACCGGTATATTTGCTTTAAAACATTCATATTAAGCCTTCAAGGCCTACAACAATATGAATTCACTAATAAAGACACGAAACTTACGAAACCCGATCATCAGTCAATAACTCGACTGAGTTGACAAGGTTCAAGCTACAAATAGAAATGACCCCAAACACCCCGATGATGGCCGTGTTGAATGCAGATCTCAACCGGAGAGGTCCCCAAATATTCCAAAGCTTCATCCAAATATCCACGAAAATCCAAAAATCCACAAAATCCAAAATTCCAGAAATCCCAAAATTCCAAAAAATATTTAAAATTGAAATTATCCATCCATACTTAAAGCAAAGCCCATCCACCTTCCGTAACAGTCTGCCGGGGTGGACAAATTCAAATAAACTCTAGCTCACAAAGAGCCAAATGCCTAGTCGAAAATATCACTAGGATCCATTCTCAAACAATCTCTTGCAGTAATGACATGGTATGTGTCCTCTAACCGGCAGTTTCGCCGCCAAATGGCACTGCAGGTAAACGGTTATGACTTGGGGCCCTCTGAACCGAGTGGTTTTGCCGCCAAATGGCACCATAGATAGCGGTTATGGCCAGAGCCAATACGCTCCTTAGTGACATCAAATCTTTGAGATATGAATCAATAGGATATGATTGATAGGGCACAAAGCCCTCTGTTAGCTAAGGTGGATTCAAATTTGTCCCCTTAGGCAAATATTCCCCACAGGTCTACAAGGTCCCCTTGGACGAAGCAACCCATGGCTGCCGATAAGGATCCTTCTGTCAGGTTGGGACGACTACCTCCTCTGACTAAGTAGACCAGGGACCACGATGGCCCGGGATGACGGAACCATGGGATCTTGATCGGGTCCATCATCCATTCCCCCACCATCAACTTTAAGTGCAGGATGGTGAAATTTATACTTTAAATATAAAATCTTCAAATTCTCAACTACTTTCCAAAATTCCAAATAACCAAATTCATGCTGCTACTATATGCCAGATAACACGTATCTCTATACGTATCTGATCGACGACTAGCCTTAATCGAAAGTTCTCTCTCGTGATCGGGAGGGTAATTAACTATAGGGGCTTGCGCCTATAGGAAACCAGATCTCAGATCATAAAGTCCTCGCAAAATGAGGGCGAAATCTCTAGGTAGTGTCTTATCTACAAACCCATCTGCCTTCCAAAATTTACCTCGAAACTTATTATGTTAAAACTCCCCCTCGCCGAATAGAAAGAAAACCGTGAGCAGGGAGGCCGGGGCCGAATTTTCGGAGCCCACAGTACTCCTATGACAAGTGTATTAAATTTTAAAATAAGGCATTAAAATTTTATAATAAAGAGAGCTAATATATGATAGTACCACAATTGAGACAAATATTAATGCATCTTTATTTACTGCCTTTGATAAAGCAATATGTTATAATTTACATATAATATTTACATGCATATTGCCTCCTAATTTTTGAATTATTATGATTTAAAAATATAATTAGCCAATAAATTGTTTAACTCACTTATATAGTTTATAATTATTTTCAAAGAAACATTTCCTAACTTAAATGGGTGAAAGAAGAGAGTACGTTTATAGCAAAAGAATAACAGCATGGGATAGGTATTATAATGCAATTATGTATCAGTTTTCATTTAAAAATACATATTCTGAAAAAAATACTAATGCACTTTAATAGATAATTTTAAATAAAATTTCATGCTTTTGTAGGCTCTTATAAAATTGAATAATATGTTTGAAAAAAGTTTTAGAAAGACTTGTGATGTAATTTAAATTTAGGTCCAACCATCTATTTTCGCTTTGATACTCCATGTTTTCAGGTCGACATTTGACGGAGAAAAGCATTTGTTTAAAGGTTTCAAGGCCTTCTGAAGAGATATTCAAAAGCTTGAGGGAAGCTGCACAATCTCGGTAGTGATTAAAATAAAATTACAGAATGATAGAAACCTCAAATAATAAACAAGATATTATAATCAATATGAAATTCGAGTGAAATAACTAAAACGATCTTGGGATCTCAAGAAATAAATTGCATATTGCCTTAGTTTAATTCCCCTTTAGTTTCCATCCATAAGAACTTAACCTTGCCAAATGATCAATGAGGCTATTTTAAAAATAGATGAAAAGAAAATCAAAGAATAAATTACAAAAAAAGTCCCTAACATAAAAGAGAATCTTCATTTTAGTCTAAGTTTCTTAAAAATGGCCCATGAGTCCCTCTTTTTTTTTTTTGAAGAAATGACCCATGAGTCCCTCACAGACAAATTCTTATATGTAAAGTCCCCTGGCTGCAGTTTTGATGTAGGCAACATTTGATGCAAGTCCCTTTGACTAATGTTTATCATGGATTCATCATGGATAACAGAGCTTCCACCTCCAATGAGGTCAATGGATCCATACAAACTCATGTAGATCCACACGACAAAGTTCCAATTCCCATGCAAAAGCTGTAGAGACGCCAGCAGCTACTCCAATCAATTTAGCAATTGCAAGAGAGATGGTTATAGTGAGTTTTCAAGTGCTGGATCACCATCTCTGGTTGATCCTTTGGCAGTTTTAGGGGTAGATGCTCTGCATCGACTTTTCATTTGCAATGATGTTGACAATTCTAATGAGGTCAACTAAATTTCCTTGTAGATCCAAAATCCCACTCTTCAATCAAACTCTAGCGTGGGGCTTCCATGGAACTCATCAAGCAAATCCATGATAATTTCTTACAAATTGCTCACTATTGGCATTGTTTGCCCCTCATCTCCCTTCTTTCTACTTGAATTCATCCACAACCACAAGAAACATAGCATCACAATCTTTCTTGAACTCTCACTCTACAACGAGAATAACGATATACTCATCAAGGGTGATGATTTCAGGCATATGATGAGGGAGTTCTTAGGTGGTAAAAAAATGCTCACTACCATCTATAAGGCATGCATTGAAATATCTAAGAAATTCCAAATAATAGATACAGTGTAATTGATGTTGGCAATTGAAGTAATGAAAGGTCAATCTCAAATAGACTTGATGAGCATGTTTGGATATCGCAAGCCTCTTGACCATGGCATGACTCCCCCTATAAGGCCCAACTTCAGCCAACAAGCTTACATGAATTTTACTAGCTTGCAAAAAAGTACATTTATAAATATTTGAATTTTGTGTTGCGGACAAATCTGAAACAATGAATATATTTGGGACACAATTTTTTATAACATTTAAATTTAAGTCGAAGTTATGTCAATGAGTTAAATTAAGGGAAAATTTAACATCTTTAGCAAAAGAAAAACCTCTATAAAGACCTGCATTTAACACCTCAATGATCGATTTGTAAAAGCATTAGGAACCAAAGGAGAAAATTTTTAAAATTTTGGATTGCTTTGAAGCATAGTTTATAATCCAGATTTAAGTGATACCCAATAAACCCCTTGTATAAGGCTAAACTAGACGTATTTAGTAACTATATCATTTAATTAAAACAGATATATGGCCCAGCAGTTGGGAATAAGATATTTACATCTTTGCACCAAAATATGATTCCCATTTACACTGAAAAAAATTATTCAGGCCTTAGGAAACAGCTCCTACAATTCAGTAAGAACCAGCAGGTTAAGCAGGTTCGATAGTCAATTGCACATATATTTAATCTAATTATAAGTACACCCTAGATAATGAGTTTAGTTAATCCAATTGTTACTATGAATATGATTTCAAAAAAAGTTAATGATTCAGATACCTTTCCAATTGGATAAGCTACTGGATAGCAAATGACCATTAGGATGCGCACAAGCCAAACAAAATTTGCACCCACTGCTAAACCATATCTTGTGCATATGGCTTGAGGAATAACCTGCAAATGAAAACAGAAACGAGCAATAATTTCTAGGCCAATAAATGTTCCAGGCAATTCCAACCTCGAAAAAACATAATAAAAGTGAAACAACATACCTCTCCAAAAGCCAGAACAAATGTTACAGACAAGATAACTGCAAGAACTGGATGAAATATCTTATCAAGAAATATAGGAAGGGCCTGTATTTGCAAGTAATTCAAGAAACATAATATCAATATTAAATTGTTGATGTCATAAAAGCCTCTCGTAAAGTATGAATGGAAAATAAGAATTCATGAAAGCCAACCTGATGTGGGACAAAGCTAATTATGATGTAAATGATAGTTATAGATGTTAATGAAGAAAAGAATGCTGATGAATACTATAAGAGAAGTGGGATCAATTTTGAAGAAATCCATACAAAGGATATTAAAAGAATGTTCATGCAAAAAGAAGAATATTGAGAGAGGGAGAGAGAACGAGTGCTATGTGCCTGGGAAGGAGTAGAGGTCAAAAACAGTGAGTTGCTATGACGACTGCAACTTTATAAAAATTCTTTGAATAGCTATTAGCTTCATTTACTTGAGATCTAAACAGGTTTGGTTATATATACAACGAAGGATAGAAGACACACCAATTGAATGGGTAGATAAAATCATTGTTGGTAGATTAGAAAGAAAGAATAGACCAAAGGTAATTAAGATTGAAATCGTGCAAAAGGATTTACATAAAATAGATGTCATATATCATGCAACACTCAACAAGAGTAAAAGACATACCAACAAAATGGGTAGATAAAATCAATGTCTGCGGATGAGAAAGAAAGATTAGACCAGAGGCAATTTAGATAGAAATCAAGCTAAAAGATTTGCATAAAATAAGATGCCATATATCATGAAAGAACATGAATTCATGAAAACTACTATAAATAGTTGGGATAATACAAATAATGATGATGATGATGATTATGTGGTAAATAAATACATGCAGTTGTAACCATCATTCAACTCAGCCAACCTTAAAAAAAAAATCCTTCATCAATAATACAGCTTACTACATTCTTCCTACCAATCCCTGGCTTTTCATCACCATCCATTATGCTTCAAAACTGTTTAAGTTCAACTTTTCATTATTTATTGGTAATGCACTGTCCTATGAGTGTTTTTCAGCTAAAACCTCAAAAGTTGTAATGACACCCTTAGCTAAGAGTAAGGATTCATTTGGGATGGATTTTTTAATGCTTCTTGAAGTAGTTTTTTAGTATAAAAATTAAAATTTTTTACTAGAAAGCTGCTTCAAGAAGCAGTAAAAAAGCCGTCCCAAACGAAGCCTGAGTCTTTCGTTAAGTGCTTCAACTTTGTCGTAGTGATAAGTGCTTCAACTTTGTCGTAGTGATAACCTACCTACCTAAGAATCGATTGTTCATCAAATTATACTTTCTTCCTAGAGATCCCGGATGCTTCATCAGAATCCCATTCATATGCTTCAAAACACTTTTTAAGTCCATCTTTTCACTATTTATGCATAATTCACTGTCCTTTCAAGTATTTTTCAGCACATAACTCTAGAGTTATAATAATAATAGCCCACCTAAGAATAGATTGTTCATCAAATGATTCTTATCCCAGTTCTGGCAATAATAATGTCTAAACTTCAGATTTTACGTTCATGTAGAAAATCTATTAATTCCTGCAGTAGTAAAGAGAGACCAATCTTTTACGAAATGCCTAGCAACGATCCATCTCTCAAAATCATAATGAGATGAAAACGTGTGACAACCTAAGGGTATCATACAAGTAAAAAAAATTCCTCAGGTTTATAATTATTAACCAACTTCTTATTTTCAAGTAAGAATAGCCTCAGTAGAACTCGGAATGCATACCAAATGAAAAGCATACAATGCAATCATGAACTTCAGGAAGAACAAACAGTCAAGAATGCATATGATCTATCCTCATCTAAAATTTTTCGTAACAAACTAAGTCATGCCAAATATAAATGATTGATGTAGATTGTAGAAAATAAATTACTTCCTACAGTACAAAGAAAGCAACCCTTGACTACAAGCCTGGCAAGATTTATCTAAATAAATCATAATGAAATGAAAACGTGCGATACACTAAAGGTATTAGTAAGAAAAAAAAACCTCAGTTTTATAATTATTCACCAACTTTCTATTTTCAAGTAAAATTCTTTACCAAGAATAGCCTGAGTACAAGTTGGAATGCATACCAAACAAACAGCAAACAATGCAATCATTAATATCATGAAGTAATAAACATGCAGGAATGCTTATAATCTATCCTCATTTAAACATTTCCACGAAAAACAAAGTAATGCCAAATATAATGGGCATAATATCCTTTATCATCTGCCATGGCTGATTGACAACATTACCACATTATCCTCCTTCAGTTAACTAACTTCACATCAAGAGAAGTTTTCAATGTTTAAGTTTTGCATTACTCCATTTTTTAATAAATAGCTCAACCAAATTGAGGACATGTAAATACATACCTCCATGGCAGCAGAATTACACAATAGCAAAGTCACCAGAAGTTGGTGTTGTTTTTGAACAACGGGAAGAATGGTAGCTGCAGCAAAAGACCAATTTAATAAATGTCAGACCATCTTGCAAAAGTTTGATGATGTGAAGGGTAAAAAAAAAGCACATCATGTATTGGCTAGTTGTATTGGCTAGTTTTAGAAAGGCAACAATAGTTAGTAACCCTTAAATCATAAAATCAAGAAGTACCGATCGGTAAAAAAAACATGCAAGCTAATTAACTATAATCTAGTTATGATTCCAATGCCTGCAATCAAAAGTAGGGCTAGGACTTGCAACGGATATCATGAATCCTAATATTGTATACTTTATTCAGAAGCCATTGAAAATGTCTTTGTAAGGATACAAGTTTCTACAAGAAAGCAAAGTTGACGCACTAAAGTTAGAAAGACCATGTATAACAAAAAACTGAAATAATTGAGACAACTTTATAAGGCATGTGAAGTACGGACACTGATATAAGACACAAACCCAACAAGAAAAAGAGTATATAACAATTGTACAAATTTAGATATAATATGTGTTTTTCTAATAAATTATTAAAACATGTAATCAAAACACATAATATCATTATTTTCTACCAACAAACAGCACAAATGATATAAAAAATTTAACGATAAAAATTTCAACATTGATTTAATTATAATGAATATGTAGTAGGATAAAAGCCTAATGTTGTTTTTATTGTATTGATTTAATTATAATTATATTTCAATATTTCATCAAATGAATTTAATTTTTAACAACACAAACATTAGCATCAATTATGAGAACTGATTTTGTCAGCGGAAATATTTTCTAGACAAAATTTCAAAACCTTAAAGAAAAATCTATAAACAAGATAATAACACAAAATATAAATACATTGATACATCACTAATTGAAGCCAATACATTGACGCAACAATCATCATTACCCCTAACGACAATGTCCTCTTCAATAATGCATTCACCATCATCATCAATAGCCTCATCCTAACTATTCAGGGTCATACTTTATGAGTAAGTATTTTTCATTGATGTATCACAGCTGATTGCTTGATATGTTAAACCTATTCTCCGTAAATCATTTTGAACAGCTTCTATAACATTAGATCTACCTACATATGAATATCCTTTATAAGAATCTTCATTTGAGTATGCTCTTTGTAGATGACACAAATTGATATCTACTAAAATAAGTGAAAAATTAGCACTAGGGAAGAAATGTTTGGAAGATAAAGGATCTATAACTAGTAGAACAAATGAAGAGATATGATATATAATTTTAGAATGTGTGATATTAGTAATTATTAATCAATATTATAAGAAGATAAAGTAATACTTATATGACTTAAGTTTAAGTATCTTGGATCTATTATTGCCCTAATCGCCATTTTATAGTTTTTCCTTTAGATCTCCATTATACCCCCTTATAACATAATGCTCCTCAGACATTTTCCCTTTCTATCCATCCTAAAGAATTTTTACATCATCTATTATCTCCATTATCTTGTACAATTGATCCAAGATACTTAAACTTAGGACATCTAGGTATTATTTTATCTTCTAATAATATTGATTAATAATTACTAAGATCACACCTAAAACTATATCATATATCTGCATTTGTTCTATTAATTACAAATGCTTTATCTTCCAATCATTTCCTCCATAGTTCAAATTTTTCACTTATTTTAGTAGATATCAACAAAATAAAATTATGTCATCTACCTATAAGCATAATTTGTGGCATCTCATATTAAATATTCTTTAAAAGAATCTTCATAACCAATAAAAAATATATGAACTCAATGTTGATCTCTAATGTAAAGTTACTATAATTAGAAACTCTTGAGTTAGTGCTCCTTTAGATATATCTTTAAAAACATCAATATAGCTTTCACACATATATTTTTGCCTTAATGCACACAAAATTCTTGTGGTATTCGATGATGTCTTCTCAAGATAAATAAAAATCATATGAAGACTCAATTTTTGCTCTCTATATTTTTCTATTAGTTGTCATAACATCAAAAATTTATTTCAAAGTTGATCTTCCAAGCATGAAACCAAATTAATCCTCGTACAATTAATGTAATTTTTTAAAAGCCATGTTCTATCACTCTCTCCCATAACTTTACTAGTTAACACATAAGTTTGATTCTTCTATAATTAGCACAACCTTGACTCATTTGTTCTTAAATATTGTTACCAGAATACACCTTCTCCAATCATTTGACATCCACTTGTTTTTTAAAATTATAGTGAAAAAAATGTCAATCAATTCATTGTAATATCTTCAATTTTTTCATAACCCTTAAAATCTTAATGAGCATCTCATCTAGACCTGAAGCCTTACCTTTATACATTTTCATTATAGCCAATTTCATCTTACTTTTTTAATCAATCTATAATAAACTTCATTATATAGTTTATTATGTTTTTTCCAAAATAATTTATTCATTTAAACCCTCATTCAAAACTTATCAAAATAGTATTTTCATCATTGATATCACCATCTTTAATCAAGATTCTAAAATTCCATTTTTAATGCCTCTAACTTGACAGTGTTTAGATCTCTTGCCCTAGTGATCATTTCTCCTTTTATTCTTACTTCGCAGTAAGCCTATTATATAAATCACCAAAAAAGAAGGCAAAGGCCAAACAGAAGTGAATGCAAGACCTCTTTCAGTTAGGGAGGTAGGGGAGAGCTCTTGAAGACTAGAGAGGTGGAAAATTTAAGTATGAAACACTCATTATTGGCCTCTGAATAGCCCATTTATCCTTGTTGATATCAGTTGGACACTTACACATATTTTGTGAGTTTAGAAGCTCTAGAAAGCTGGTCCGAAGCTAGAATCGAGGAGGCATGTTGAAACAAATAGCCAAATTGCTTATCAAGAATTAACAAGATTTAATAGTTCTCATTCCAAACAGTTTTTAATTTTTAATCCTTTTAAGAATTAACAGGATTTAATAGTTCTCATTCCAAACAGTTTTCAAATTTTAATCCTCTCAAGATTTATTAAGGGGACATATTACACAATTTTTAGCTATTACACACTTTAAGAACATAACTAAAAAAAATTTGGGCAAAATTTAACTTAAAACTTAATTAAAAAAACTACTATTTTTTTTTCCTCTAACGCTATCACTTGCCAGCTACTCTACTCTCCTGACTCATCTTCTTCTATAGCAGAGTCAACTTCCTGCACTTACAATGGCTTTAGCATCATTCTCCAATCATGGCTTTGTTGGCCTTCGCCTTACATCATTGTTAACCACTCTGACATTAACCTCTCCTTCCTCAACCTTAATTCCCTCATCTCATTCATCTAGTCCCCTCAAGTTTGTATAAATCCCTTATATGCTACCTCTACAAGGAATTCCCACATCCAGGATTTAACTCAAAATGGGAAGAAAATGGGATTTAAAGAAATAGCAAGATTTAGGTGATTGCTCAAAAAAATTGTTTGACAAGATTTGGCCAAAATGTTGGCTCAACCTTAGTTAATTCCTACAACCAAACAGTCCCTAAATCTGAATTTTCCCGATTTGCTAAATCCTACATGTACCTAAACAGCTCTTAAGATTTCCTGTTTCTTCCCCAAATATTTCAAACTCAACCAAACAACCAAGGAGTTGGCTAGATTTAAAATTTAGGCATCCAGATTTACTAAATCCCACTTGCATAGGACTTAATCAAAACCAACTTTACTAAATTCTACCAAGAACCAAACAGGCCCTTAAGGTTGTGCTTTATTACTGTCCAGATTTCCATGGTTAATCCCTCTAGAAAGCAATAGTGGCGTGGGCACCAAGCATTAATATATGTGTGGTCACTCTTTTTATAAGTTGCATAGTGCCTTTCTGTAGAGTTAAAAGGAAGATTCTGCACGATTCAAAATATTCAGATGGTGAAACCATCCTAGCTGTACATGCATAACCATTAGCAGTTTAAAGAACACCCATTTACATATATGGCAACTGTCTGAATTGTATAGTGCGTTTCCAGGGATTATAATGGGGATTGTGTGGTGAAATCATCCCTTGCTCAGCATGCATAATCATTAGCACGTCAAAGAACGACCCTTAAAACATCTCTAGTAGGGATGGACAAAAATGTATAAGAGGAAAAGAAATTAGTAAACGCACCTGCCTGCCGCTTCTCAGTTGGTGTTCCGCTGCGCTGCAGAATCTCCAGCTCGACGAGGCCCAGCGACATGAGACCAAGGGTAAGGCCCGACATAATTCCGGCGAAAAGCACCAGAACACACGAGATTCCCGCGTACACGAACCACCAAATCGAGCAGAACGGGATGTCTGCCCCAAGAGCGATCACGCCGCCTCTGCCGGCGGAGGCTCCACCACTCCCGCCGCCCGTGGCCGCTGCCACCGCCACCATTCTTGCCACCGCAATCGCATTGGAAGCCAGCATCTCAAAGATGCGGTAATCGCCCCGAAATCCTGATCCCTCTCTTTCTCTCACCCCGCACAAACCTCCACAAAATTGACTGAAATCGAGACAAATTTGTAGAAACGAAATATAAAACTATTCTTTTAAGGTGTGATAGGACAACAATACTTCATGTGGATCTGGTCAATGATCGCATGCACAACCTCTCACATGGAGTCTTGGAAGCGTCGCACGGACGCCGGATGACACGAAGACGGCGATGCAGTTGGTACAAGCAAGAAGACAGAGAATATCCCGTTAGCCGTGAAGGGGAGCCAAAGCGAGAGATGCTATGTACCAAGGCCTACAAACATTGCATGTCAAGATTTTCTATTTAATTCTAAAATGATGGCTGATTTATTAGTATCGTCTTCATGTGAGTAAAGAAGTAAAAATGAGTCCTAAATAAGCCAATATAGCCGGGCTCAATATTTAATTAGATAACTATGAAACTTTGAGAAGGAGAAAAGTTTTTGCTGAGTTTATGATGAAAAATAAATATGCAATGGAGTCTAATTGCCTACAAATCATTTGATAGCTATGCAACTATCTAATAAAAACTTATAAACTAAACAATAAGAGTCTGTTTGGCACGATTGCAATTTCAATAATATGTTTATAAATATGTTGTTATGGGAATGTAAATTTTGCTAAAGTTATTGTACAAAGCAGCTCTCTAGTATAAAAATTTCTTGAAAGCAGTGAAAAAACGGTAGCCAAATAAAAATAATGTTTACGATTTGAAAATCAAAATAATAAAAATAATATCACAAATGAAATCTAAATCTTATTTACTATTATACACTTCACATGTGACTAACGTGAATTCTTATTTTGGATGCAAATCAAAGCAACCCTTATGTTAGAAAATAGAGGTGCTTCAATTTGAATAGTGTCACAAAAATATATAAACTTCAATGAATTGAAGTATGGAGCATAGAGTCCACAACTTCTTCAAGAAAGCTCATGCTCTAATAAGGGACAGTAGGCACATTCACAAAGTTTGAGATAATTATCTGTGAAATAACCAAAAAAATTATCTTCTATTCTAGCTATGAGGATCTCCAAGTGCATTCTCAAAAATTATAATAAATGTGCATGATATAACTCGAAGCGCGTGATCGAGTCAGGCTCAAGTTTGCATGAGCTCAAATTTCTTATCAAATAGGATTTTAAATTCTTTTATAGGTTATGTAATCTAAGCTTGATTTATCACTCAAGGAGAAAATATGGCTAAACCAAATGAGCTCGATACCTCTCTTAAGCATATTTGTAATATATCCTTTATGATATACACTTTTCTCCCCAACTATCTCCTAAACCCACTCCTTTATGATCATAGTCACAAGAGCTTTTGGTCTATTTCCTCATAAGGATTACAAGCCATCATCCATTGAGCGGCTAGGGTTTTAGTTAAGTGCCTCTCCTACCTCCACTTTGTTTTTTGGCTCGAGCTATCTCTTCCAACTATAATTCTTAGAAGGTAAGATTCACATGATTTCTTCCTATTCATCCGTGCTTTTTTAGTAGAACTCACGAGTTATAAGAAATGTTTTATCAAAATTTGTTTAATTTCTTAATAGATTAAAATTAATTTTCATATGAATTAAACTTAAGTTAAAAAAGCTAAAAAACTTTACCAGTTTATAATAGTTTATCTTTTCCATCAATACATTTGAAGAATGATATGTATAATAAATTTTTATTTAAACAAAATTAAATACTTTTTTAAATAATTATAGAAGCAATACAATACATTTGGTTGAAGGAGGTAGTGTTAGCTATTCATACTCAAGTACAAAAATCAAGCATTCCTTACACTTGATTAAGTTAAACTTGTTTTATATCGCATAGAATTCCTACTAAGGTATTGATTTTTGACTTCATATGAAGAGTACGAGCTACATTATGACTCTCAATATAGTCCCTCCATAACTTTCAGAATAGTAGATGATGAGAACACAAGGACATGCGAAGAAAAAATTTTGATGCAATAAGTCTATAATTTAGAGAACATACAGATGAGTCATTTAACATCAATATGCAAAACTTCTATGAATGAATATGTGCAGCGTAACAACCCATTTGGGATGGGTACACTACTCATCTAATAAAAATAGTTTAGTAAAACTTTCTTTAGTGAAGAATAGTACAATATAAGTTAGTTTAATTAACCCGTTATTTATTTTAATATTATTTCATGAGCAATTTATCCTTTATGATATACTTGTAGTTATATTTAATTTTTCTCATGTTATACATTTTGAATTTCATATATTGCAAAAATTAATTTTCTTGTATTTCAAGATTTCTATTTATAATTCAGTGCAATTTTTTATTTATGTGCAACATTAAAATATATGTAATGCTAATTTAATCTATCATATTTTCATTTTAGATGACTTCTGGTGATGAGCCTCATCTCATATCAATCACCTCTATTTTTAGTCGACGAAAGAAATTGACTACAAGCTCAGCATGGGCCAAAACTAACTGATCAAGGACAATCAGGATCTCAAACTATCACCACAACAAGCCAAAATACTCATTTTCCTACTACGATTAACACTAGCCCACAATTCCCATCCCCAGTTCCACCCACTTTTATCTATATTGCTCTTTACTATCATCACAGAATGTTCCATCCATATATCCTTGTTTGTCTTACAAATAACCTTTTTATTACCTACCTCTATCATGGCCACATTAAGCTAGGCCATCTACACCTGCTAAGCAAAGGGTTGAGGGATGCATGTACAAGAGAAAATTATACGGATTAGGCTCAAAAGTCTACGTATATAAGCCATACTCATCCGACTCAGCATCATGTGGAGATAGCAACGTTGAAGAGATAATCAGCTGGAGGGTGGCAGCTATAAAAATATCTAAAGTCAGTAGAAGATTTTAAAAAGAAAAAAAAAACTTTTTCCTTCTCATTTCGGCTAACAAATACGTTATAGAGAGAGAGAGAAAGAGAGAGAAAAGCTTGAGACTTGGAGGCCACGGAGCAATTTTCGTCAGTCGGGCCAGTTGGGATAATATCTCATCTCGCTATAAGTAACATTTGCCCTATTTTTTATTTTAAAATTTTTTGTTTTTGATATTTCTCTTATCAAATTTGTGTTTCCGTAACAAAAAAAAACACGAATAATTTATATTGGCAAAACTTTCAGCACTTAATTTTTTGTATATTTTAAAGATCATGATTATGGATATTTTGAGTATTTATTTGATTTTTTTACTCGGTGATTTTGAAAATACAATGATTTTTGTCTGCCTCATAATTTATTTTGACCTCTAAAAATAGTAGTGTAGTACAATAAAAGTTTTAAAGCATCATTTTATACAATTTCTAATATTTTGATAATTTTTTTGAAAATATGTATTTTGCATAATAGGATTCTTTGTTGTCTATCATTATGACATTTTAGCATCTTCTTAATTAAGTTCAATTATGCATTATTTATTGCAATGCATTGAAAATGAATAGCTGGTTGCTATTATTATTATAGTATTGTGATAATAATATGCGTGTGTGAAACAAATAAATAAAGATTAGTTGAACCGTTGGTCGGAGACTGATTGACCTGTACATGATGGTGGGACAATGAACTTTCTTTTAAATATTGTGATTTGGTGTTATCCTCTAATAATTCATGTGATACATTGATTGAGAGTTATAAGGAGATTCGTGCTTAATCAAGATAATTTTTTAAGGATGTATGAGTTGCCACCATTTTCGGATGTCAAAGCTCCATAAGTCTAAAATATGTGTCATAAAGTCATTTGGGAATTTTTTGTGTGATTTTAAAACTTAGGCGTAGGGGTCGTGGAAGACCCTAAAATTGTTAAAATTGAGTCTATAACATTAAAAATGGTCATTGGGACTAAAAAAATGTCCAATTTGACCCCGCTGGGGCCAAGATTATGCTCGAAAATGGGCTTGGACGGACTAGCCGCCACCAATGTCCGCCGTCGACCACCGCCACCGCCCTGCACTGCCGCCTCGCCACTGCGCGCTGCTGCCTCTATCACTGCACACTGCCACCACCACCGCGGATGCGCTATACTTGGGCGCCCACGCGCCATTGTCTGCTTCCCGCATGCTCGTGCTGGGTTGCCATCACTGCCCCGAGCTGTGGCCCACGTAGTGTGGCTCGCCCGCCAATCGCAGGCAGTTGGCTATGGGGTGGCCCGCCCGCCAATCGCAGGCAGTTGGCTATGGTTAACCGATGATTTGGCTAACAGTTAGCTAATCACCAACTTTGTTTTTTGCCATAACCACTCTAACCACCCCTCTTTCCTATAAATACCCCCTAGATGCATGAAATTGTTGCACCTCCTCTTTTTCTTCCCTTCTTCTCCTCACGTTGAGACCTTCCCCTAATCCTATTCATGTAGTATCCCTTGTCCAGGTCTAGGGTCCCTCACTAAGTAAGAGTCTCCTCCTCATCCTTCTTCCCTCCCTCATGCTGAGGCATTCCCTTAATCTTGTTCATGTGGTATTCGCTTTCCATGTTTAGGTCCCCTCACTAAGTAGGAGTCTCCTCCTACTTCTTCTTCTCTCCCGCTTCTCTCCCTCATGCTGAGACATTCCCCTAGTTCTGTTGAGGTGGTATCCCTGTCCAGGTTTAGGGCCCCTCACTAAGTAGGAATGTCCTCCTCTTTCTCTCTCTCATGATGATCAGGCATTCCCCTAGTCCTATTCAGGTGGTATCCCCTATCCAAGTCTAGGGCTCCTTAATGAGTAGGAGTCTCCTCCTACTTCTTTGAGAGATATCGTGGAGGCCCGTCATTAGTCGGTGGAAGTCTAGCAACGGACCAAAGTCCAACGTCGGGAAGAGTTTGCTGACGGGTGGAAATTTGGCATATGGTAGAAGTCCGACAAGAGTCCGATGATAGGTAGAAATTAGATGTCTGGTAGAAGTTCGAAGAGAGTCTGGTGACAGGTAGAAGTCTGGTGTTTGGTAGAAGTACAACGTCAAGTAGAAGTCTGACAAAAATTTGTCGACGGACAGAAGTCCTGTCACGCCCCAAGATCTAACTTGGAAAGAATTTCAATAAATTCATCAAAATCATTTACCAGAGCTATTTATAACATCAATCAGACAGTCTAACAAAAATCTATAACATTTAAAACATCAATGTACAGGTCGATTCATATCTCAAAAGATCATATACAATACTCAGGAACTACACTATGAACTGAAATCTATCCTGTCCTGAGTACAAAAGAATCACTATAACAAAAAAGAATAAAAACCTGGAGATTCCTGATCAACCTCAATCTCCTGCTCCCTTGCTCTGACCTGAAAATATCAACCACATAT